TATATATATCATAGAGGGGACAGGGCAGGCTATCATAAGGAAAGGCATAATAGCCTCAAACTAAAAAATAATTTGAAAAGGGTTGGGGACGTAGCTCAGCACAAATGCCCTCAGGTGAATCCCCAGTACTGGCAAAGAATGAACAAACGAATGAACACAAGCCTTAGCCAGCCAATGTAGGCACTGTGGTGTACAACTGTTAGCACAGTTACTCAGGAAGCTGAGGCAGAAAAACTGCAAATTTGAGGCTAGGCTTGGCAATAGCCTCAAAATAGCATGTCCAAAAGGGCTGATGATGTTGTTCATTGGTAGAGAACGCTTGGGTGAAATCTACAGTTGTGGATGGGGGAGAAAGAGAGACGGGGTGAACTCAGTAGATGTGCCTGCCTAGTGTGCACAAGCAAGGTGCTAGGTTCCACCCCTGGCAACAATAAAAAACAACAAAGCAGAAAGTCCTTGTCCCAGATTAACCCAACCCAGGGCCCAAGGCAAGGACCTAGGACTTGCTGGCTCCCCTTTTTTTGTTTGTTTGTTTGTTCGAGACAGTCTTACTTCATAATTCAGGCTAGCCTTAAATTCTGAGCACGCCTCCTGCCTCAGCCTCCTGAATGGCTGGGATTACAGGTGTGCACTGGCACATTCCAGGCCTCTAATCTTGCCCATCCCCACTTCCACCCCAAAACACTGGTCAGTCCTCTGGTCACAGAGGTCCTTGACTCTCCATAGCTACTAACAAAGCCAATGCAGGCCCCTGCCTGCTCTGCCCACACATGGAAGTGCCAAGGTGCCATTCAGCATCTTGTGCCCTGACTGTAAATGGCCCAACTTGGCCAACCACCACGCTGAGGGCAGCCCTTGGCTCCCATACATTTACCAGTAAAGAGGAGCATGAATTCCCCTGCTGGCCAGTTGAGCAAGGTGAGGGTTCTGGAGGGCTCGGTGAGAGGGGCTGGCCTGTCTGTGAAAAGAGGGAGGTGCAGCTTCCTAAAGTGGGTGCTCTTCCCGGAGGCTCCAGGGCAATGCTTAAAGCACAGAATCATCTATAACTTTTTGGCAAAATCTGGGGTTCAAGCAACCCATCTCAAGTCTTAGCTGTGAAGAAAAGGCGCCTCCCTCTAACCACCGTTCAATGCCAGGGCAAGACCCCATATGAAGTTCTTCAGCCCTGGGGGAGGGACAGCGAACCCCAAGGGAACGGCAGGAAGGAGCCCCAAGGAAGGTCGGTCTGTTTCCCACAGCCTGTCTCTGGCAGACCTCTGGAGGAGGGCATTCCCTAGCCTCAACACATACCCCAGCCTCCCAGAACCTGTGGAGTCCCTTCCACCCCAGACCCCGCCCTCTCCTCAGGACCTGCTGGGGCCAAGGGTCCCCTCCCAGTTCATGCTGTCAGGCCCTCAACTGCCAGCCTCCCCACGGGCCTCAGCACACCAGCACACTCTCGGGCAGCCCTGGGTCCTTTGGCAGCCCCGGGAACCTCGGCGTGGGCCTCCGCAACAGACCCCCCAGGTCACCGCCAAGCCTGCCCGAGGCCTTGCTCGGCCGTTAGCCTCCAGACCTTGACATGTGCAGGTCCCGGGGCCCCATCACCGTCGGGCCCCCCCCAGCACCGCGGTGCCCAACGCAGACACCTGGAGGCCAGCCGTCAGCCGCTCCTCTGAAGCCCTCTGGCCCCGTGAAGCCCACAGAACCGCGCAGGGTCCTCCTCCCGCAGGCCGGGCCTCCAGGATTCCCAGCGCGTCCGGCGGGCCGGAGACAGGTGTCGGATACCCGCAGGCCTGACTCACCTGCTGGGGCGCTCCTGGCCCGGACCCGCGCTGCCGCCGCTGCCCCCGGATTCCGCCATCTTCCTACCACCACCGCAGCCGCGCGTTCGAGTGACGGGAGCTGTATGCGCCGACTGGGGAGACAGCGGTAGACGCGAGAAGCGGGGCGGAGAACCGTCCAGTGGGGGCGTGGCCACGAGGCTGGGCGTGGTCCGAGGGCGCGGGTGTCTCCGCAGGGGCGGAGCTAGTGGCGGGCGGGGCCTCTTATGCAAAGAAGGAGAGCTAGAGCTAAGCCAGCCTGAAGAGTGGAGTTTTAAGAGCAGTCTGAGCGGATGAAGGGGCGTGTCTGGAGATTTGGGGCGGAGCCTGAGGAGGAGGCATGTTTGGGTGGGCGGGTTGGGGGTGCCTATGAAGAGATAGTGTCTAGGCAGAGATAGGGAGAGAGGTATGGGATTGGGGCAAGCCTTAGAACAAGGGCAGAGCCCGCCCTGGGGAAGGGTGTGTCTAAGCGGCCGGGGGCGGGGCCTGACAAGGGGCGGTATTTAATGGAGCTGGGGGCGGAGCATGTCCTAGAAGAGGCGGGGCCCAAAATGAACTATGGAATCAGTAGAGTAGGGGGCGTGGCGGACCATAATGTGGGCGTGGCATGGGGTGATGGGAGGGGCATGGAGAGGCGTGGCCAAAACGACCTGGTGTGAAAGCTAAGTAAGGAGAAGCCTTAGAGCAAGCGCCTAACTAGAGTGGGATAAAGGGGCGTATCTAGAGTGCTGAGATGAGAGTCTAAGGAAAACAAGGTGGAGCCTGGGCTTGACCAGGGAACAGGCTAGGGAATTGAGGTGGAGCCCTTTGACAAGGGGCGGAGCTATGGCTGGAGAGGGTCTGTCCAAGCGGGGGCGTGGTCTGTCGTGAGGCGGGGCGGGTGTGGCCTAGGTGGCCCAGGCCTTCCTGAAGAGAGAGGCTGGGCTGAGGAGGGGTACAAGGAAGATTAGTGCAGGATGGGGGGGACAGGCCAGGGAGGGATGTGGTCTGTGAAAGCCAGGTTGAAGTGGGGATATTACGACCAGAGGTCAGAGACAGAGCCTGAGAAAGGGGAGGGGCCGGGTGTGAGCGGGTGGCAGCCAGTGAACACAGAGCTGTGGAAGGCCAGGCCATCAGGCTGTGCAGATACCCACCCACAGCCACCTGCCTCACCAGCCTTTGTTTCTGATGAACTGCATGCACTCATCCACCCCCATCAACAGAGACTCGCCAGCTCACGCCCCCGCCACGCGTACAGCCAGAGCCAACAACATCCACCCCCACAGGCTCCCTAAATACCTACATTCGACCCACATGACCGGCACAGACACACAGCCATTGGCAAGCAACAAGAACAGCGGCTTCTCCAGGAACCTGCTATGTGCAAAGCACCTGCGCTGCAGACCCACAACATCCTGGGGGCTGAGCCACCCTGAGAGCACAGAACGCAGGACAGCTTGTGTGAAGGTCCTGGCGCAGGAGTGGTGCTGGGTCAGCTGCTTCTGCAGATGACACGAGGGACAGAGAGGAGGGAGGAGGCTGGGTGGAAGGCAGCCTTAGGGAAGTCACTATGAAGACACCCTATGAGCGAAATGAGAAGAGAAACTGGTGATGGCTTTACCAGATGTCTCTCAGAGATGGGGACGAACCATCTTCAATTAGGGACACTCAATAGGAGGAAAATAATCTAGGCCAGAACCAAAGGAGCTCAGTTGAACACAGTAATGATTGCCTGTGGTCTTGGCTACTCAGGAGGCTGGGGCAGGAGGATTGCAAGCTTGAGCACTGCTGGCAATTTAGTGAGACCCTGTCTCGAAATAAAATGAAACAGGCTGCGAACATAGCTCACTAGCACAGCATTTGCCTAGTGCATGTGAGCCCTGGGTTCCATCGCTAGTAGCATAAAAACCTAGAGAGACGGGGCTTCATGGCCCTTGCTGGAAGCTGGGATGCACTTGGAAGGCATTTGCAGCACAGTTGAGATGTGGGCTGGGAGGAGAAAAACCAGGGTGCCCTCCCCAGGGTTCCTGGTCCAACCTACAGTGGCTGCCATCACTGGGCCGGAGCAGGGACCTCGCCACATGCACTCCATCCAAGCAGGATGGCCTGTGAGCTGGCCAAGCCACCAGCCAGAACATGGCAGGCCCCATCCATAGCCTGGTCACTCTCTGGTCCATAGCAGGCATGGGATCCCAAAGACAGGGGCCACACCACCTGTTCTCCCCTCCCTAATGGCCCAGCCAGCTGTGGGCCTTATGGGCCCAGGTCCAGCATGCAGGCCCCACACAGCCCAGGTGTTGCAGAGCAGGAAGCGGGAGCCTGGAGTGGCCTTGGCTCCTGGCAACTGTCTGCTGGGGCCAGGGGCCAGCCCACCAGAGGCCACTGCTGCGTGGGCCGGCAGCTTCTCTAGGCCCATTCCCCTTTCCTCCTCACTGCCTCTAGCTCTTCATCTGCTGATAGATCACCAGCCAGCTGTGTCTACATCTTCAGATCTTTGGGATTTTTTCCCTTGTACTGGGGCAGAATCTTGCTAGTTTTCCAGACTGGTGCTGAATTTAGAAGCCTCCTGCCTCAGTTTCCCTGAGAACCAGGACTAAGGGCATACACCAACCGAACTCAGCAAAATTCCTCATTTTACAGCATCTGGATGGGTAGTTTTTATACTTTCTTTAAAATTTTATTTACCTTGGGCTGGTGAAATAGCTCAGCACATTAAAGCACCTGTAAGCAGGCACAGGCTCTGGGGGTTCAATCCCTGGGCCTGCCATGCCAGCCCTGTCCCCGGGACACACTGAGATGGCAATTGAGACTGAGTGTGGTGGTGCACGCCTGTAATCCCAGCTCTTGGGAGACTGTAAAAAGGCGGATCACTACAAGTCTGATCTAGTAGTGAGACCCTGAACACCCTATATACCCTTCCCTAAAAAATACGAAAAAAAATTATTTGCCAATTGGTTCTTGGGGTGCTGGGGATGCAGCCCAGAGACACGCCCATCCTGAGAAAGGACTCCACCACTGAGTTTTGCCCCCAACCCCCAAGGGTTCTTGGTACATTTGGGAGGTCAAACAACGGCCATGTCTTATATAGGACTAGAACACTTCCACCCACCCAGTGGAAACCCTTTCCCCATGAGCAGTCTCCCCCAGTTCCCTCCCCCAGACCCTGGCAGCCACTGATCTGCTTCCTGTCCCTGTGGATTCTTCTGTTCTGGACAGTTCACGTCAACAGGATCACACATTGTGTTGTCTTTTATACCTCACTTCTGCCACTCAGCACCAGTCTTGAGGTTCACCCATAGAGCATGTATCAACATCCATATAGCATGCCTCATTCCTTTTTATGGCTGAGTAATATTCCACCCAGGAAGGACCACCTTGTATATATCTATGTAGGTCTAGTGGCCATTTATTCATTTCTGCTTCTGGGTGGCTTCTGAACAGTGCCACCACGAACACGTGTGTCCCAGGACTTGCCTGAGCACCTACTTTTGTTTCTCTGGGGCAGAACCCTAGGTATGGAATGGCTACCTTCTAGGGCAGCTCTGTGCTCAGCTTTCTGCGGAGCTGTCAGACGCTTCCCTTCCTCCTTATCATTCATTCTCCCAGCGAAATGTCAGCTCCCCAGGGATGAGGATGCTGTTTTGTTTCTGGCCGCCGTGCTGCCTGACAGCAGCAGACACACGTTAGATAAACACATAGTGCGCCAGTGAATCACCGCGGCGCTCATAGGGCTGCCGGGTGGTCTCAGCATCCGTGTCCATGAAATGGGAATTAAGGAATGGAACCCGGCTCTTGGTGAGAATTAGTCACCCTGGGTGGGGGTGGAGCTCGGGGTAAGCTTGCCTAGTGTGTGCAAGGCCCTGGGTTCTGGCCCCAGCACCAGAAAGAAAAAAGAGAGAAAAATAAATAAATAAGAGAATTAGTCACCCTTTCTACAAAGACACTGAGCCAGAAAGTTGGCTGTCCACCACAAGCAAGCTTTGTCCCCAGTTCTGCACACCTTCCTTCTGGCCTCTAGCCTTGCTGTCCCTGCTTGCTGCTCAGGGCTGGGACCTTGCTGCTGAGATCAAGCCCAGGGAAGGTGAGGGATGCCACTCAGCGAGGGCTCTAGGCTGCTAGGGGGCCAGGCCACATGGGAAGCCCGGTGAGAGTGCTTGGGCACCCCCGCCTTATTCTGGGTGCTGGGGACCCATCCACATCAAGGTGGGTACAGAATTGCTCTTTAAGGCGAGCCAACCTGTAATAGCCTCCGAGTTATTATACTGAAATGCCAGGGTGAGGCTCACAACTAAGAAAAGAGGTTATCGTGGCACTACGGCTGAGATTCAAAAGTATGGGGTAAGGATGGGCCACCTGACCTGCGGGGGTGGGGGAGCAGGGCCGGCCTCCCACCTCCCAAAAGGCCCTGCCTCTTAATGGTTCCATCACTTCTTCACAGCTTGTGGGGAACTTCATTAAAAAAAATCTCAAAATAAAAAATAGGGGCTGGGGAGATGGCTCAGTACAATAAGCACTTTCCTGGCAATCACAAGGTCCTGAGTTCAATCCCTGGTACCACAAAAAAACAAAAGAGAGAGAGAGAGAGAGAGAGAGAGAGAGAGAGAGAGAGAGAGAGAGAGAAAAGACCTGGGGCTGGGGATAAACTCATGTGCAGAGCTCAGAGGATGCAGCTTCAAGCCAAGGAAACCAGAGCCACTGGGAGCTGGCCCAGAGACCGGATAGCTCACCCCTGGGTCCTTAGCAGGAATCCAGCCTAGCTGTTTTCTTTTTTTTTGTTAGTACTGAGTATCGAACTCGTGGAGATTCTGCCACTAAGCTACATTCACAGTCTGTTTGTTTTTTACTTTGAGACAGGGTCTTGCTATGTTGCCCAGGCAGGACTTAAGCTTCCTAATCATCTTGCCTCAGCCTCCCAAAATTCATGGATTACAGATGTGTGCCACTAAGCCTTGGCCTTCTATCTTTTCTAAAAAAGCTACTGAGGGTAGAACCCAGGGCCTCACATGCGTTAGCGGCTGGTCTACCTTTGAGCTATACCCCAGCCACTGTTTTATTTTGAGATAGGATCTTACTAAATTGTCCAGGTTGGCCTTAAAGTTGCAGTCCTTCTGCCTCAGCCTCTCAGATGCTGCAGTTATAGGCGTCTGCCACCATAGCCCACAACCATG